GGTACTCAAATGAAAGGTCTCGATGAGTGTAACGTCAGGATGAGCTTATATTTTTAAAATTGCCAATAGTTCTCAAGATACTAGGTCACTTTTTAATTATAAATATTTGTAAAGATGTAAGCTCATCCTGATGTTGCACTCATCAAGAGCTTTCATTTGAGTACCCACATCAATTTTTCATATATTTATATATATTATATATATTTATATATGAAAAATATATGAAAATTGATGTGGGTACTTAAATGAAAGGTCTCGACGAGTCTAACCTCAGGGTGAGCTTATATCTTTAAAAATGTCAATAAGTCACAAGATACAAGGTCATTTCTTAATTATGTATCTAGAGATTCTATATATTATCAATATAGATTATTAGGATAAAAAAATGATTAATTAATTATATTATTTCATTCCAGCAGTTGGAGAAGTTGGTCTGCCGCTAATCACCAGAATGCAAATGACAATCATCCTACACCAAAAAACAATGATGACTCTGATGGCTGGGAATTTGTACCAGGTAGTGTATCTGAAATCCTAAGAAAAAATACATTGCCAGGTACACTAAAAACTAACAAAACTCAAATTATCACTCTAATTACATTTGTAATCCTAGCAGCTCTGTTTTCTTATATTTTTTCATCAAATTAAATCATGTGTACATTTCTTCTTTTTTACCGCCACATGCTTCTGTTGTGTCTCTGCTGATAATACAATAATGCTGTGTGTAAATATATGAACATGTCATTAACTAGTTAATAAAAAAATAATTACGGTTAAGAGAATAATTAAGTGCGAACAAGAGCTAAGTTAATTAAGAAAAGTATTGCTGTAGTACACTTATACATTTATATATTTTTCTGTGTTATGTCTGCTTCTAAGAGATTGTATTATTATCGTTTTAAACTTTCGCGAGGCGGCGATTAATTACAGTGATTAAAAGTCATGATAGACAGAGATCCTCAGACGACAACAGCAACAACAACAACAACAACAACAACAACAACAACAACAGTACTGAGCTAGTACATATAATAGTACAGGACAGCTTTTCTCACTTAACTATGGCATTTATTGTTATTACAGTATTTAAGTGAGCGTTTTATTTTTATTTTTTCATGTTTTCTATTTGTCCTTTTATTTTTATTTCTTCAATTAATTATTTGTAACAATTAGAGAACAATCTTTCTGCAAACTCATGTACATCTGATAATGCATTGTATGTTTATTTTTTTTTCTGCGCTTCATTTAAAATTTATAAACTGTAAATTGTCACAAAATATATTTTTATTTCTTCACAAATATATTTTTTACATTAATTAATTTTATTTAAAAAAAACCTGATGCAAAAATTAAATAAAAAAAAATATTAGATAGTTATTAATTATTTTTTTCTGTGCAGGAAAACGAAAGCGAAGAAATAATGACAGTGAAGATGATAAAAAACAAGAGGACAATGGACCAAAATAAATTAATTTTTTTTTACATTTTATTTTTTTTAAAATGTATTTTTAAATTATCAATTATGAAATATTTCAAATTATTTTATTCCAACGAATAATAATAAACACTGAAGAAATAATACTAATCCCTTGTACTAATACTTTCTTATTATTATTATTATTTTTTTTTTTTGTCAAGGTTAAAATAGATTTTAGTTATGACTTACTCTTCGGCCGGAAAACTTCGTAATTTTTTTTTAATACTCTTAAAAGTTATAACTTAAATTTTATTAGTTAAATAAGTTGAATTAATAGTTATTTTTAAAATATTTACAAGTGATTTAGGAAAATTGTTCAGTGCTCCAAGATGTTTCGTGATAATATTTCGTTGGGATATAACCGAACATTGTTTCCAGAGAAAAATGTCACAAATGTAAGTACTGAAATTTTGAAAATTTATTTATTTTTTTTTTTAAATAAATAAATTGCCTCTCGGTAATTTTACATGATGATAATTTTAATGATAAATATATTAAGCGTGACTTTAAAGATAATAATAATATATGAAAAAGATTGAAAAATAATAACAATTTACAGAATATTTAATATTATTGTCGCTCTTGTAGTTTCTTTTTTTTGACTAAAGATGCTTCGATAAATTCTAGAAAAAAAATTTTAATTAAAATAGTAAAAATGATGATTATCGTTGGACACTTTTGGGATTTCTAAGGGCATTGCGTTTATTAAAAGCAAGGCACATGCCGCATAGAAACCCCACCTCTGCCTCAACAAATTATCTGTATTTTTATAAAAAAAACCTAGAAAAATATGGAATAATAAATTTAACAGATTTAAAAATATTTAATAACTATGAGTAGCAACCTTGCAGTCACTATGTGACTGCCGTGACTTGTGAACTATAAATAAATAATATAATGCATTATTAAATGATGAATATCGTTAAATTGCACTGTATTTTCTTAACTATTGACCTTTTTAAAGATATAAGCTCATTCCGATGTTACACTCATTAAGAGCTTTCATTTGAGTACCCACATGCAATTTTGATATATTTTTCATATATACATATATATAATATATATAAATATATATGAAAAATTGATGTGGGTACTCAAATGAAAGGTCTTTATAATTGTACCATGATGATGAGTTTATATCTTTAAAAATGTCAATAGTTGACAAAATACAAGCTCATTTCTTAATTATTGACCTTTTTAAAGATATAAGCTCATCCTGATGTTACACTCATCGAGACCTTTCATTTGAGTACCCACATGCATTTTCATATATTTTTCACATATACATATATATAATATATATAAATATATGAAAAATTGATGTGGGTACTCAAATGAAAGGTCTCGATGACCGTAACATCAAGATGAGCTTATATCTTTAAAAATGTCAAGAGTTCCCAAGATACAATTAATTATTAACAAAAATTCCAATAATTTTTAGCTGTCTCAATTTAATAAATTATTATGATTAGTGTCAGCCTTATCTCCAATAAAATCCTAAAAAAAAAAAACTAAATGTACCAACATTTAATCATAAAAATAGTAATAAAAACTAACGAGGTTTTATTAAGAGTTAGAAACTACTAGTGACTATAAACTAGTACAAGGTGTACCGATTAATAGTCGTTATTATTTGATATCCCATGGACTTAGATATAGAAGGCGAGGCATAAATGAGCAAATAATAAATAACAATAGAAAATAATGTATAATAAGCCAGCAATAAATAAAAATAAAAATAATAAAATTAGAAGCTGTTGATGTGCTAAATATTTCTGTTAAATTTTATAATTGGGCTTGGTGCATGATTTTTCCCGATGAATTACGCTATTTAGTCCGATAGTAGCCGAGTTGTATCTCGGTTGGTGTATTATTGGATATAATCGATGCACAACAGATAAGATAAAAGCTAAGTAAGGTGAAAGGAGTGGTTAGATTGGTGAAGTAAAGCCTAAGCCGGTGGTTCTTGTATTAAAGAAAGAAGAAGAAGAAGGAGTTAAGTTAAGTTGAAGGAACTCAATTAAATCGAATTGCATTGCCGATGACTCGGAAATTTCACGGGGAATTATTCGATCTCCTTGAGTAGTTTATCTTATTTTTTTTTAATGCATTTAATTTTTATTGCACATACTTTATTTCTTGTTGAGTTTTTTTTATTATTATTGTTACTCAGTTATCGGCGATATTAATGATAATCAAAATAAAGCTGTAATCGAAACTAGCTAAGAGAAATGCTATAAATTTATCAATACATTATATTATCTGATGATCGTATTCTTAATTGCTAATTATTTATCCAAAGTGCCAAGCCTGTTTAATGAGTTGAGAAAAAAGCGCAAGAGATTAAATGAATAACAAGAAGAAAGGTTGAGGGAAATAAATAAAAAAATTAACTACGTTATCCTCTTTCACGCTTATCTCTTTTTTGCGCCTCGTTAACGACGCCTCGTATAATTGTCACTCGCTTAAATGTTAGTTTTACAACTTACAAATGTCTTTTATAGACTTTAAGCTCGTACTTAAATAATTAGACTTATTTCTATATCATCTTTGTACCAGAATAAGAAACTGTTTTGTCATGGTAACTTTAAACTCAATAAGATTATAATATTGTCAAGAATCTAATTACTTGTTATGAATGGTAAAATAACGAGTTGCTTTTTTTGTTGTAAAGAAAATATATATATATATATATTTTTTTTTTCTATAAAAATTTGTGGTAAGTAGGATGGCTTTATTATAAGAAGAATTTTTTTTAGTAAATTATTATTTCTTCTTTACTAAATTATTATTTCTTCTTTACTAAATTATTGTTTCTTCTTTACTAAATTATTATTTCTTCTTTACTAAATTATTATTTCTTCTTTACTAAATTATTGTTTCTTCTTTACTAAATTATTATTTCTTCTTTACTAAATTATTATTTTAGTAAATTATTATTTCTTCTTTACTAAATTATTATTTCTTCTTTACTAAATTATTGTTTCTTCTTTACTAAATTATTATTTCTTCTTTACTAAATTATTATTTTGGTAAATTATTATTTCTTCTTTACTAAATTATTATTTTAGTAAATTATTATTTCTTCTTTACTAAATTATTATTGTAGTAAATTATTATTTCTTCTTTACTAAATTATTATTTTAGTAAATTATTATATCTTTTTTACTAAATCATTATTATTTGTAAGCTAGTGAATGAAAAATTTTTTTTGCGATGTGATTAGTGAAATTTTTTAAGCGCAAATTTTTATTTCTTAAAAAATGTTTTTAAATAATTTTTTACAAGTAAGGTCCACCCTATTTTTGGCCATATCTAGGTAAAAAATAAACATTTAAAATTTTTTTATTATTCTGCTTGTTTTTCCGAAGCATTTATGATAAAAAATCTCGTGAAAGAAAAAAACTAAGATTTCGATAGCTTTTTTGCCTTCATAAGTTGAAACAAATTTTGGCTCTCATGTTTTTGTATAAAATTTATATTTTATCTTTTTTTGATATATTTTTTTTGAAAAGTACATAAAAACGTTAACAATTAAAAAAAAAATAGTTGAATATCACAATTTTCTAAAAAATTTGTTAAAATTGTGATAATTAATTTTTTTTTTTAAACTATTTATTTTTTTAAGTGTTAAAAAAAATATATCAATAAAATCAAATAGAAATTTTGTTAAAAAAAATAAAGATTAAAATGGTGAAATACACATAAATAATTATCAAGTTTTTTTAATTAATCGGCTTTTTTTTTAATGATACTGAAATTTAAGTATTAATTTGTAGAATTTTTTTAAGAAATTAAATTTTGCAAAAAAATTATATCTTTAGAAGTTTTAAAAAATTATAAATGAAATTATTTAAAAATAATTTTTTATACTTAGTTTATTTCTCAAAAAAAATTTTTTTTCTTGTATCATATTTAAATTTTATTTAATAAATAAATTCTTTATAAAAAATTGCAATTTTAACAATTTTTCAATGTGGAATTTTGTTTTCTTCAAAATATTATAAAAAAAATTTAAAGATTTATAAAATTTCTTTAAATTTCAGGATTAAAAGTTCCGCATCATTAAAATTGAACAAATAATTAGGAATTCTGTAATTTTAAATAAAATATTGTTTTCTTGAAAGTTAATTTCACAAATTTTTCTCACATTAATCTATAAAAAAATGTAGAAAAATAAAATTGTATTAAAAAAATTATCTAATTTTGGAGTAGCAATTTACGATAAACATTTTTTCTAATAAAACCGTAATAAAGGTTTATATTTATTATAATAATCATAAAATTTTATGACTATAATATTATCGCTTTATAGGTAATTTAAAATTCTAAATGCTATCAAGCATAAAAGTATATAAATTTGCTTATGTCATACAGGAAATTATATATAAAGCGTATTAACAACTTTGACTGTAATTATCTTCAGGAATTTGGAAGAAAAGGGAAAGGAAATTCTCAAGCGTGCAGATAAATTATTTAAATTAATTTCTTTAGTTTAAGACATTTAAAAATAAAAATTACACACAACCAAAAAACTTTAGAAGAAAAATTAATTAATTAATTCGGACTTAAAAAAAAAATTATTATTCATTAAATAAAATAAAAAACTAATAATTTATATCATAAAATAAACAAATTAATTAAACTCATTATCGGAAAGGTTTCTTACCTTAAAAGAAGACTACTTTTGCGGAAATAGTCGGCAGAGTATGTTTGAATAGTATTTAAAGTAGTATTTAAATAAAACAATCCTTTTACGGTGTGTTTGTTCTTTTTAGGTTTCTTCTCATCTTTTGTCGGCACTTTTACTGCTAGCGTCGTCAGTAGCTAACTCAGCGGGACCTTTAGCACCGCTCGTAATAATTAATAGTCTATTAAAGCGCGCATCTCTTTGTTTCTTCTTTTAAATAAATAAATAAATAAATAAATAAATAAATTAATAAAAAAATAATTAGATAAATAAATCAGTAAATAAATTAATAAACAAATAATTA